TTTCAATAAAAATACCCAAATCCATCCATATTATCATTACAAATACAAAAACTAGAATCCCTAAACAAACACCGAGGGACTCTCACCTTGCGGTACTCCCTTCGTCACTATCTTAAAAACTTGTCTTGGTAGTTTAGAGAAGAGCTCCTCCCGGCACACACTTCAACCAAGACTCCCGCCTGGCCTCCTTCACCGTGGTTCAGTGGCTCCCTTACAAATTGCAACTTTAAGTGAAAATCTTATGTCTTTTGTCATTTCGTTTAAGATGTTTTGTTTTGTTTTTCCTCCCCACGTTTATGGTGATGGTGGGTTGTGTGATGCGAATGGGTCTTGGATCACGCAAAGATTAACTGACCTAACTCTACACAAGGGGAGGGGTTAGATTAGGTTTTGTTAAGTTGGGTTAGGTTAGGTTATATTAGGTTGGGTTAGATTAGGGTATGTTAAGTTGGGTAAGGTTAGGTTAAGTCTACTTTTACTACTACATATAAAATAATAATAACAACAACAATAATAACAAACACCGTACATGAAAATAAAAACAAGTGTTGACAGCCGGTTCATGGTAGAAAGATCCTCAAGTTGATGTAATCCAAAAAAGTCATTTGAATATCAAAAAGTTGAATATAAATGTATGAAAATGTATGTGAGTGAGTGAGGGGACCCTTGGTCAGGCGTGTCCCCTCAGGCGGCGACCAGGGCGGGGAGGGGAGGGGAGATGAGACAGCAGGGGAGGATGTATATAGGTGGGGAGAAGAGACAGGAAAGATGAGACAGTAAGGGAGGATGTTGGTGGGGAGGGAAGATGAGAGGAGGGGAAGGTTAGATGGAGAGGGGAGGTTAAGAGGGAGGAGGGATAAGAGGGGAGAGAAAAATATCAAAGGGGATGGAAATGGGAGGGGAATAGAGGGAGAACCAAGTGGTATGAGTGGGAGAAAGAAGAAGGAAAGGAAGAAAAGGAGGAGCCAAGAAGGAAACAAGGATGCAACACACAGAATAAAGTTTGCACATAACAACAACACACCCAAGACAATCCACCAATCACTTATTTTTGGCGACGTTAGAGGGGAATAATTCTTCTCCCACGCCCCTGGCCCGCTCTCGCTCTGGGCTCCTCGTTGCACCCCCGGCCCATACTCGTCAGGCACTCGGCACTAACGGAGACGATGGCTAATTCTTAACTACCCTTGTTTGCTTTCGTTCAAGTGAAGTAATAATAGTGGTAGTAGTAATGGTGGCTATAGTAGTAGTAGTAGTGGTGGTGGTAGTAGTAGTAGTAGTAGTGGTGGTGGTGGTAGTGGTAGTAGTAATAGTAATTTTTATTTTAGAATTTACTTTTATACTTAGTGCATGCGGTCAGATTTGTTTGTTCATGTGTACTCGTATGTATGTTTGTATGTATGTAGATATGCGTGTAGGTATATGTCTATGTGCGTGCTTGTGTGCGTGTGTGTACAAGTCGGTCGGCTGGAATACTGCATACAAATTGGGTGATTTCAGTCAGAGTGAAGATGGTAGTGAGATGATCTTACGGGGTGGGGGGAGAAATACCCTCCCTCCTCCCTCCCTCCTCCCTCCTCCTCCTCCCTCCCTCCCTCACCTTCCATATTTTGCAGGTATTGTATTTGTTTGTGTTTCTTTGTCAGTTGTTTCTTGTTATATAGTACTATTGTGTTCCTTACCTGTAGATGTATTTGTTGTGTTATTATCACGCCCGCTTACCAACAAACACACACACACACTCCTGCCCATCTACACCACCCCCCACACACACTTCCGTCCACCCACGTACACGCCCGCCCACCCACACTCACCCCGCCCACTTTTGTGTAGTGGTCGGTATTATCAACTGGTGAGATAAAACGAAGCGTCAAGATCGTCTTATCTCCCCCCCCTTTCCTCACTTCCTAGGGAGGGGCAGGAGGGGTGTTAGGTCTTCCGTTACCCTCTTCTTCCTCTTTCTTTCCTCTTTCTCTCACCAAATATATCCCCCCCACTTCTTTCTCCCCTTCCTTCCCTCCTTCATTATCTCTCTTCCTTCTACCTCCCGTGACAAGTAGCCAGCGCTGGGAGAGGAAATGAGAGAGAGAGAGAGAGAGAGAGAGAGAGAGAGAGAGAGTCATCGTATTGTCGCAGTCACAACCCCCCACCTTCCCCATTTCTCCCTCCCTCCTCCCATCTCTCCCTCCCTCCCCTTTGGTCATTTCTGGCTCCTCTTGCCCTCAGTGATAACACCAAATTGAAATCCTGACCAGCAACACACGGCCGGATAACACAAAATTAGGTCATCCCACACCCTCCTGATAACGCCTTCAGGAGGGGTGCAGGGGTCGTCAAGGTGGTGAGCCTGTCGTGTTGTAGGGGAGGACAACTTGTGGTGTGAGGGGAGGGGGAGGGGAGGTGTTGGTGTGGTGATGGTGGTAATAGGGTGACAGTGTTGTGGTGAAATGTGATTGTGGTGATATGTGTGTGTGTGTGTGTGTGTGTGTGTGTGTGTGTGTGTGTGTGTGTGTGTGTGTGTGTGTGTGTGTATTTACTATGTACGTGCTGCCTGTGCATATATGTCCATGCTGGTGTGTGTGTGTGTGTGTGTGTGTGTGTGTGTGTGTGTGTGTGTGTGTGTGTGCGTGCGCGCGTTGACATGAGAAGGGCTGCAGAAACACCTGTACAGTATTCTCATTCATACACCTGACTGCTTCTCCCTACTGGCCAGGGTAGAGAGAGAGAGAAAGTATAAAAAGAGGCAGAAAATAATATGAATAATAATAGAATAAATGTAAACATCAGTTGCTTGCTTGTTTGGTTAGGTTTGTTTGTTTGTTAATTTTTGTGTGGTTGGTTGATTGGTTAGGTGGGTGTGTGTGTTTGTAAAAAATTTGTGTGCTTTAGTATTAGGTTGGATGTGTAAATCTTTGATTGTTTTTGTTTATTTTAATGTTTGCTTGATTAGTTGTTTTATGTTTGAATGTTTAATAGAGTGTTTGTTTACCGTGACGTCACTAACCAGGTGTGTTTACCGTGACGTCACTAACCAAGTGTGTTTACCTTGACGTCACTAACCAGGTGTGTTTACCGTGACGTCACTAACCAGGTGTGTTTACCGTGACGTCACTAACCAGGTGTGTTTACCGTGACGTCACTAACCAGGTGTGTTTACCGTGACGTTACTAACCAGGTGTGTTTACCGTGACTTCTCACTAACTAATGACAACACACTCATCAGTTAATCATGAAAGGTCGACCGTTCAGCAAGGAGTATTGTGTGTGTGTGTGTGTACGTTACTGCACTGAATGGCGCCCCGTGGCTTAACACTATCTAACCCAGAATAAGGAGAATTCATCACGAAGGCGTACACAAAAGTAAGAGTTTCGACCTTATGGTACCTTAGACCCCTATAATGGTGCACCGTCGCCTCCCCCCCCTCTCCCACACACACGTGGACGTCACACCTGTTTGAGTGGTTACCCAGGAGGTAATAATTAAGCATCAGGTAATGTTCAAGAGACTCATCTTTAAGTGAGATCCAAACGTCCGATATAAGAGTTGAAACAAAAAATATAAAGGATTGAATCCCATTAAAATCGATTCCATCCTGTGACGTCATTCTAACCTCTATACAACAATAACAACACTACTTTCGTTTCCATAATAAAAAAAAGACGAATAAAATAGTTAGAAATAAAGTTTACACAGGGGAGGTCAGGATCTCTTTGTGCTGACCAGTGAATCCCATTACTTATTGACGATGTAATCAGGGGAAATTCATGCAACTGCGGCAAACTAACTGTGTGCAACAACTAAAGTCGGTGGCAACTGTGCTGTGGATTTGTTGATCCCTACCAACAGTTTGAGAGTGTTGAGAAGTCATCTGCCCTCCCACACACACACACGCGCGCACCCGTTCAGTCCCTCCCTCCTTCAATCCCCCCCTCAACCTCCCTTCCCCCCTCTCCGTCCACGCCTCTCCCTACTTCCCTCCCTTATGCCTGCCACGTGTCTACCTGTAGTTACACCTTAATTATCTACCTGTATCACACCTCTTGTGTTGACTACAGTGTGGTATATTAAGACCATTAAGAACCAACCTACCATTAAGTACCAGGACACCATAGTTGAAAGAGGCGTGACCTTACCTACCAGTTCACCTTTCAAACTACTCTAGAGTGACCTTTAAACACACCGTGTATTAATTAATTACAGCTGGGGGGGGTATAGAGGGGTACGGGTCATGAGAAGGGGAGGTAATGGTTTAATTTAATGGTGTTTGGTTGAGATGTTTCGACTGCAAAATATCATTTAATTCCTCTGTTGGTATTTGTGTGTGTGTGTGTGTATTTTCGCCTCTGCTCTTTTGTTTGCAAGCTGGGTGTTTAATGACGTGGTTTGGTTATGTGTGGTGTTTATGTTACCTGTACTGTACCTGTATCTACCTGTATCTGTGTATGTTTTTTGCACCTGAACCGTTTTTTGTATCTTGTTTCTGTACCTGGCTATGTATTCCCCATCTACACCTGTACTGTGCCTGTGGTGTGTTTGCTGCGCACATGTGGCTGAATGTGATGTGGATAAATTGTGTGTTGTCTGTAAAATATATGAGTTGTGTGTATATTGTTGTAACATGTATGAATTATATGTATTGTATCTCAAACATATAAATTATGTATATTGGCATGAATGAATTGTGTGCTGTATGTAAGGTGTTTAATCTACGTTGAGTTTACACTACTGTATAAACTGTTCTGGGTAACTTATGTTTAAGGAATGGAGATCTGGGCCGTGTTGTCACTTAGCAACAGTTTTAAGTATATTTTATGGGTAGTCTGTGTGTTTTGTGTATATATTTATTATTTTAATTATAATAAAATATTCCAAAATCCTTTCTCTAACCCGTAGTCGAAGTAATTGGGGATTCGAAATGGAGAAAGAGGAAGAGAGGGTTGTTGCTTCTGTTGTTGTGATGTGTTTTGATGTTAAGTGAGAGTATTTTTTTTTCCGGCAGAGGGCAACAGCGTGAACGGGTGTGAGAGAGAAGACGTGGTCAGCGACTGTGGTAGTGATGGCGGCCTCCACGACCATCACCATCATCACCACCACCACCACAACACCACCCTTGATGACCACCACCACCACCTCGATGATTCCATGGACGGCACCCCGCCTACCATCACTAACAACACCTCGTCCTCCTCGGCTGACCTAACCACGCCCACCGCGCGCCCACGCACACCCACGCCTGTCGGGCTCGTCCAGACACACGCCCCCCACGCGCCCATGCAGCTGCCGCCAGCTCCCAGACATTTTCACCCAGTTATTAATCTGGTAAGTCAGCAAGGGTCACTCTGGCTTAGTGGAAAAGAGCGTAGGAGTTAAATTTCCCTGACTTACTTGTTAAGAATGTATCTACTGTAGGCAAGCGTCACCTAACCTAACCAAAATTGTGCCTTTTCTGTGATTTTTTGTCATTACAAAAATATTAAATTAATATTGTACTGAAAAACCCCAAATAGTCGCTACAAATAGAATAAAAATTATTATTCATAATTAGTGGAATTATCCTAAAACGACTAATTTGAATGATTAAAGTAAAATAAGATTACCATTTTAATCAATATATATATAAGATAAAACTAATAACTTTATACCATTAAAATGCCATAAAACAGTAATTGGACTTCATTAAGATAACATACAGTAATTAATAATAGTAATTAATAAGACTAATACCAATGATTACTGCAATATTTATCTCAGTATATATATATATATATATATATATATATATATATATATATATATATATATATATATATATATATATATATATATATATATATATAGTATTTGGTAATTAATTTTAAGTAGAATATTAAATTAATTGGGGTAATAAAAAAGTTATTTAGTGTAATAAAAATTTTAATTAACCTGTACAGTACAGTATACAGTAACTAACATAAAAATCTCAAAATAAATACAGGTTTGGGGTAATTATTAAGAGCGTGGACAGTTGAGGGGGTGATAATATAATAAAATGAATGCTATTTTTTTTAAGTATTGTATTCAATAAAATGGCTATGGCTATTTTACACTCAGATTTGACTAATTAAACAAAGTGATAGATAAGGTATTTTAACATATATACAGTAAACCCTCGATAACTCGACACATATGGGGCCCTGGCCTTGCCGAGTTATCCCAAATTCCAACTTATCGAGGCACTTCCCCCCTCTTAAAAAAAATACAAGAATAAAAAATTATCGACCCATATATGTGTACATGTATTAACTAAATGTAAAAAAGTAACACTTACCAGCACTGCAGGTGAAGAAGGAAGCATTGTAGTAGGAGACTCAAATGTATGGTAGATGACACAAAGGCATGGTAGGTGACACAGAGGCATGGTAGGTGACACAGAGGCATGGTAGTTGACACAAAGGCATGGTAGGTGACACAGAGGCATGGTAGTTGACACAAAGGCATGGTAGGTGACACAGAGGCATGGTAGGTGACACAGAGGCATGGTAGATGACACAAAGGCATGGTAGGTGACACAGAGGCATGGTAGTTGACACAAAGGCATGGTGGTAGGCATGGTGACACAAAGGCATGGTAGGTGACACAGAGGCATGGTAGGTGACACAGAGGCATGGTAGATGACACAAAGGCATGGTAGGTGACACAGAGGCATGGTAGTTGACACAAAGGCATGGTAGGTGACACAAAGGCATGGTAGTTGACACAAAGGCATGGTAGGTGACACAGAGGCATGGTAGGTGACTCAGATGTATGGGAGATGACACAGTGGCATGGTAGATGACACAGTGGCATGGTAGATGACACAAAGGCATGGTAGTTGACACAGAGGCATGGCAGGTGACACAGAGGCATGGTAGGTGACACAGAGGCATGGTAGGTGATGTAGGTGGCCAGATATGCCGAGATTTTCCCAGATAATTTTATATATCTCAGCATTTCCCGAGTTATACTGATACATTCCGAGATCATATCCATACCGAGTTATATGAAATTCCGAGTTATCAAATGCCGAGTTATCGAGGGTTTACTGTACAGTATAATTAATAAAATACGTAACTTATTTTAACAAATATACTGTAGTTAATAAAATAGATAATGTATTTTAGGATTATTTTTTAAGTAAAAAAGTATGGTATTTTATGATATATAATTAATTAAATAAAATTTTAAAAAGAAATTATGTCATAAACTACATAATTAACAAAGTACAGTAAAGTATATAGTTGTAACAAAATAAGTACTTGTATACAGTATGGTACATTAATACACAGGCTGACTTATAACATTATTTACTGTAACATAACAAGAGTACAGAAGAGTTATATGACACAGTTCAGTACATAACTGTAACAAAATGGGCACACTATAATGAGCCAATATCCCAAACTTCATAACTGTAACATTACTGTAATTTATCAGTCTTAACTACTGTATAAATACATAACTCTGGCATTATTAAGAATATACCTGAGCATATTTAATTAGAATAACAAAATACTACAGTAATTACAAAGTACAGTACAGTACTGTACTGTACAATGTTCAGTTAATAAAGAACATGAAAAATATTAAAGCTACCTGCAACATAAAGTACATAGTTATGTATAACACAGTTGTAAGAGGGAAATGTAACACAGTCATAGTGCAGCAACGTAAGACAACGATTGAACTAACCTAAGATTCCTTTGACAGGCTCGTGACCTAACCGGTCGGTCCAGCAATGGGGGTCGGTCACCCACACCATCCCCACCACCCATGCTGCCCCCTCACACCTCAGCGGCCCTGCCCTCTCCCTCGCCCACGCCCACAGTGACCCACACGCCCATCAGCAGTGCCGCCTCGCCCACTAGTGCGCCCGCAGCCGCCCACTCCGTACAGGCTGCCCTCGCCGCCATCCAGGCTGGATCACTCTCACTCAACCAGGTCAGTTATTCTCTCTCTCTCCTCCTTAGGTCTAGTACTCACACAGTACTGTTAATCGTCTTTACCTTTACATATACAGTACTGTACTGTTGGTTTTGATTTGATGAGCATATGGAATGATGAGAGAATATTAAGTGTTTTTTTTTTAATGTGTATTTTCAGAGTAATGGGTCTGAAGCTGTTAGATCAGGCCATGAAGCTTGTGGAGATTGTGAATGTGAATTTGATAAAGGAGATAGTGGACATTAATGAAGTGCAGTGTAGATTCTTGCAAGTATGGGACCAAAGAGGCAATGTTTATGTCCAGGTAATGACTGCACAAGAGAAATATTTAAGGAAAGAAGGAATGGTGTAGTGTACTTTGTGTTTGTAGGCTTATTGAAGACATTTGATGGGGGTGTTGTGAGGTAATATAGTGAGCAATAAGAAAGTTAAGAGTAGAATAGTGTCTTGTGAGAGTGGTTATGTTATTGTATTAGGGCTTGAGGACCTCTGAGAGTAAATGGTAAGGAAGGTGAGGAACTTATAGTGAAAATAGGGATCCATCAAGGGTCTGTCTTGAGCCCCGTTCTGTTTACTGTATCATAGTATTAAGAGAGTTTATCATGAATTTTAGGACTGGTGTACCCTGGGAGTTGTATGTTGACAAGTTATACTGTATAGTGTTAATAACAGATAACGTTGAAGAGTTAATGGAAAATTTAGGAAATGAAAAGATAGAATGATATCAAAAGGTGTGAGAGTGAATGTAGCAAAAATAAAGGTAATGATTGAGTGACATAGGTGAAGGACCATGCTGGAATGGCTATGTACTTTCTGTAAGAAGGGTGTTGGTAGTAATTTAGTAATGTTTAGTAAGTGTTGAAGGTGGGTACACAAGAGGTGCAGTGGTGTAAATGGCAGACTGTAGGGTGTGGCAGACTTTAAGTGTGCTGTAGGTGTAGGTAATTATGTGGCCTTAGCAAGGCTGGAAAAGATCAATTTTGAGGAAATATCCCTGGATTGTGTCGATGAGTTCTGTTACCAGGGTGGCATGATCAGTGCTTGTGCTGAACCCATCTCACTTGCAAGAGTCAGAAATCATTGGAAGAAGTTTAGGGAGTTGCTGCCTTTTTTAACAGAAAGAGCATTTGCTAATTTATTGTGTGGCTATATTTTTCATGAAAATTATTTTTTATCCATTGAAATATCTAAATAGAATATTTTCCTTTGTACAGCTGATGGCTCTAGGAGCTCAAGGTCCAGGACTTCTGATGCAGAACCAGTTGGCAGCAGCAGCAGCAGCAGCCAACCAACTGCCTGTCTCCTCCCCCCTTCCCAGCCTCGGCTCACTCAACCCTCAGGACATGCAGGTAAGCCACCTAAGCCCCACACTCTGCTGATAAATATTATGTTCTCTCCTTCTCCTGCAAGTCCTCTCCTGCTTCAGTGTCAGTTGGCTGGGATTCACAAACAGCTCATGTTCTCCTGCCACTGCTTGTCATTCAGTCTCTCCGATCGCTTTACTGCATGCGTCCTGCTTCAGTGTCAGTTGGCTGAGATTCACAAACAGCTCATGTTCTCCTGCCACTGCTTGTCATTCAGTCTCTCCGATCGCTTTACTGCATGCGTCCTGCTTCAGTGTCAGGTGGCTGGGATTCACAAACAGCTCATGTTCTCCTGCCACTGCTTGTCATTCAGTCTCTCCGATCGCTTTACTGCATGTGTCCTGCTTCAGTGTCAGGTGCCTGAGATTCACAAACAGCTCATATTCTCCTGCCACTGCTTGTCATTCAGTCTCTCCGATCGCTTTACTGCATGTGTCCTGCTTCAGTTATACCTTTCTGCAACAAGTCTCCAGGATATCCACCAGATTTGTTCCTGTCACTTCATGCAACCCTGGAACACATACCAGCAGCTTATCCAACTCTAGGATTTTTCCAACGCATGCCAGCCTTTTCCTGCTTCAATACCACCTGAGTCAAATATATCGGTGAAATATTGATAGTGTACCAAGACAGCACCATGAGATGTGCCTGTACTGTCCAGTACTGGAAGGAGTTTACATTGTTGTTACCTCAAAGTGGTATGTTACAGGCTCTACAGCAGACACTCTCACAGCAACAGCAACAAATCCAGCAGCAGTTGCAGCAATTCATGCTGTTCACACAGCCCAGTGCAGCCTCCCAGTTGCCACCTCAGGCTCAACTCTTCCTCCAGAGTCAGGTAAACTGAAACCTTTAGTGTGAATTGGGGTGTAATTTGTAGGTCTTCATGTTCAAGTTGTTTTTGGTTGTCATGATATACATGTCTGCTCTACAGGAAATAGCATTATTTTAGTGTGAAATATACTTACTGTATTGCTAAAAAATTTCATTTTCTGATGTTATATTACTGAACTTTATTTTTTCCATTGCAGCAGTTGCAGTACTTGCAAAATTTGCTGCAACAAGGACTCTTGGCATCCCCAGGGCTCGCAGGTATGCAAGGACTGCAACCACCAGTATCCCAGGCGCCCTCCCAAGCTGCACAGGTGCGTAATGTGCAGCATGCTGTAGCACAAGCTGCCCAGCAGCTGCAGCAGCTGCAGAAAGCTCACCAGCAGCATCAACAACAACAACATCAGCAGCAGCACCAGCACCAGCACCAACAAGCTGCAAGAGAAATTAGGGACTTGAGAGATATACGTGATCTAAGAGACATACGAGACCTGAGGGAAGTGTCCATGAGGGACATGCGAGATATACGTGAACCTCCATTACGGCCTCCACCTCTTGAGCCTCCACATGTGTCGGGCTCACCCCTGGCACCTCACTTGCCACCACATGGACACATGGCCAGGCCACCTGTGCCCCACTCCCCGCCACCTCCACCTCCCCGCCATTGGGAACCACTTCCAGAGGAACCAACAGACCTGGAGGAGCTGGAGCAGTTTGCCAAGACCTTTAAACAACGACGCATCAAGTTAGGGTTTACCCAGGGGGACGTGGGACTGGCCATGGGCAAGTTGTACGGCAATGACTTTTCTCAAACCACCATCAGCCGTTTTGAGGCTCTCAACCTCTCCTTCAAGAATATGTGCAAGCTGAAACCACTGCTTCAGAAGTGGCTAACAGATGCTGACAAGACAATTTCTGACCCAACAACTGTTAGTAACTCCCTCTCTTCGCCCGATGCAGTTGGTCGCCGTCGAAAGAAGCGAACCTCCATCGAAACTAGCGTCCGTGTGGCTCTTGAGCGAGCCTTTATCCAGAACCCTAAGCCCACCTCAGAGGAGATCTCAATGCTTGCAGACAACCTCTCAATGGAAAAAGAGGTAGTCAGGGTCTGGTTCTGTAACAGGTAAGTACGTATTATTTTTTTTTGTTTTGCAGTTTCTGGGTTTGGGTCATGATAGTGGTAAGTAGTGTATTGTAATTTAAACTAACCTTGAGCATTTTAGCTCAGCTGTTTTAATTAATTTTCAGAGTATCTTAACACTATCAAGCCTTCAACCTTTTAGTAGATTGAAGTACAAATATTTTTACAATGAAAATATTTTGAAAAGTGAAAAAGTTTGTGACATTATAACAGTATAAGTGATTTACATTCTTGCTTAACTAAAAGATATTTTCTCCTGCAGACGCCAGAAGGAGAAACGAATAAACCCTCCATCAAGTGGAATGATCAGCCCACCACTGAGTCTCAGTGGTAACAACATGTTCTCTGGGCCACCCATTTCCTCAGCCCTGACACTCACCAGCTTGGGAGCGCCGCCTCTCTCTCCTGGAGCTCATCTCCCATCACCTCTGTCCCTGGTCACCCATAGTTATCCTCCAGTTTCACCTCCTGAGTCTGCCTCGATAAAATCAGAGTAGCTGTCTCCTGGGCCTCGCTGCTCAGGGCTACTGGACTGTGAGTCACAGTCTGCCTGGCAGGGACGCCCAAGCGCCATCTCTCCCCCGACCGCCCCCCGCCCCTTTTGTGCAATGCCCGACCTCTCTCTTGGCGGTGATTGGCGGCTCTTTGGGGCATATCAGCAGTAATACCATGAGGCAACAATATCAACTACTACTCTATCAGTAGTGTCAAGTTGGCATCACCAGGCTGCTGCCATTATCTTCAGCTCCATAAAGGAGGTCCTGTGTCAGTGTTGTAAGTGTTTGGTATGTGGTGATGGTAGCGTGGCTGCCACAGACTTGCCTGGTCTTTAGTGCCACACACAGTCATGGCTGCAACAGGCACGATCATATCAGTGGTGAGGAGACACACTCAGGGGACACAGGTGCACACTAAAAGTCTGTAACTAAATCTGTGTGATACCCACAACATATATAAAATGGGACAAAACAGTGCTTCAAGTGGTGCTTTTGTTAGAGTGACTGGTGAAAGACAGTTAAAATTGCCAGAGTGTAGAGTGACATTGAGGAACGTGTACTCTGTTGGTCCCGCCTGAATCGTCTCACACACAGAACTAAATTCTGCCAGTGGAAAGGCTCCCCACTCTCATGTCTGCCTCCCACCAGGACTGCACTAATACCTGCAGGTGTGGCTTCAATATACTGTATACCAGTTTAGTATTTACTGAGTTTAAACTAGTTCACTTACCATTGAAAATTTTGCCCCATAGAAAGTGGTTGGTATTTATGATAGTGGGGGCCCAAGCCACATGAGGCAGAGCGAACCTTGGCAATAGTTTGTAAGAAGAATGGGGTAAAATGGGAAAGTGTTTTTATGTGTAGTGAGTAGATAAATGACTGATTTCTGTATTATCATTGGAATACTGTCTATGTGGCTTATTTTATCCATTGAGTACTAGTGTATTATCCTAGTAATGTCTACTTAAATGATCTTGCCTGATACGAAATGAAAGTTCCTGCATATAAAATGAAGTACGTAATTCTTAAGATACCTCAACCAAACAGCGGTGTTGGTGGGACGGTTGGACGACGCGGAGCAGGACATATCCAAGGTGCATTTTTACTGTTGTAGCGTAGGTCGCGTGGTCCCTCACTTTGTCTGACTGCTCCCTGCGTGTTCTTTACTCTGACGTTGTGATTGTGTAGCTGAGGATTATATTTTCCGTGGATCCATGATGTTAGACTTGTAAGGGCTTATTGTATCATCATCGCCCCCTCAATACACTATGTACATAACCTCATCTCGAGGACATATCCCCCCTAGTTCCCCATCCCCCTTACTTTTCCTCCTTGATGTTAAGGGGATATATGCCTCTCCTTACTCTGTCAAATACCTCCACCAGTGTCACTTTTCCTATTAAAAAATGGACCCACCTTTGCAAGTGCACATTCCCTTTCCCTCCACATGTGAGACCCCACATGAACGACCTGGTTTAATGTTTGATAATTCTGCTGTCTTCCAGATGAAGAAGTCACTGTGCTTTTACTCAAGTGATCACATGGGGACTTTAAGTCCTTCATGTAGTATTTTTTTTTTGACACATAAACTGTGTCATTGTTTAAACTGGCACATTTAAAAGTGATAATTATACCTGTATTCTAAATGACTCCTGCAAAAATAGAGTAAGATGCTGCTTTTGAAGCAAACTAAAGTTTATGGGTCCACTATTCTGCTGTCTCCCCCCCCCCCTCTCCCAACCCCTCTTAATGATGGTTACTGACTGGTTTCTGGCCAATATTCTTGGCCTCGTCCTGGAGGCGGGTAGTTCCTATTATGCTCCTGCCTAGTCTCATGTTCACCATCCAGAAATGTCCCTCTCATCAAACCCAAACATCATCCATGCATAACCCATCCTAACCTCAACATCCTGCCCTTGTTGCCTCTATAGGCTGCCGTGTGATCTGTCAACTCTTCCAAGTCTCATTATTGTGTGCGTGTTGGTTACAAGGTCCAGCAGGCTGTGAGTGTACAAGTTGCCAGGACTGAGGAACAGTATACAATCTGTGGTGTTCATCCACATGTTACTGAGGGTCCTGGTACACTCTGTGCATATCCATCAGCGGGTCTTTGTAGGCACATATAGTCACCTAATCTGAGGAGGATTTGTGTGTGTTGATTGCCTAAACTGTTCAACTAAGCACACGACCGCTGCCAATCTTTGGTCTGCAGTACTTGTGTCAGTCGACCAGTTTAGAACTGGTGTGCATATGTGCAGCAACTACCATTTTTACCGTAGCTTTGCCAATACTTTCCCTCTCACATCCCTGTTAGTGTCACCGACAACCATGTAACATTCAACCCCCGTCTTTGTCAATGTTGGTTGTTCAAGCAGTTAGAAAACTGTATATTTTCCAGTCAAAACATACCTAAGATTTTTGATGTGTGGTAACAAAAAATGTGTATCCCTTTAAGGTGTAAAAAGATCCACCAGAAAGTCATGCCTTCCAGACAGTGAATATCCCCCAGTTGTCTCAACTCAGGAGTATTAAATTATAGCGTAAAACATTGGGGGATGTGCACTGTCACCATGGCTGCGAGAGTCCTGATTGGAGGAGAACTGACAAGCACTTATGTGATTAGTTGACAAGAGAGCTGGCAGGCACTAGAGTGATGTTTACTCGTGATTGGCTGGTTTGCTAAATGGAAGTACAGAGTAAGCTTTGTTGTATTTTGTACTTGGTCACTTCACATGTTTACTGTACTGGTAAATGTTTTGTTAACTAAAGATAGCTGCACTGAGCTCTTGGCAGCAGGAGCACCATGAAGCTGAGTTATGTTGTGCAAGCATGGGTTACCATTCATATGGATTGGTAAATTATTATATGTTAAGTGGTAATTTGTTTGGGTTCACACTGTATGGATGGAGCAGATGGCGGAGCATATTAAATTTTATTGTCTTACTCAAAGCCCGGTTTCATAGCTACAAATGGTGGACGGTTACTGGTGAAATTGTGTTGTTTATCATTATTATTATTATATTTGTTGGGCATTATGCAAACACATGAAATGAACGCACTGTTGCATCATAGTTTAGTGTAACTCTGTTGTTTAGTTTTGGCTGCACTGCATACACTATTTGATTATTAATATATTTTTGCAGTTGACATTCCATATAACAATGACTCAAAAATCTCATTGCCAGGCACAAACTAGTAAAAAAAAAATCTTCTACCTTGCAAATAGATTTCAGGTTTGTTTTTTTTCGTCCATAACCACAGATTTCTCTTTCATTCAGTCATTATTGTGTAAATGATAAATTCGAAGTTTAAAAAATAACTTTTCATATAAATTATAAAAAGTTCTTCAGTTTAAACACACACACACTCAACCATCTCCCTTAACTCTACCACATTATTTTTTTTTATTACCCGGTATTATTATTAATACGAGACTGTTATTCAGAGTATGACACCTGACTCCTCCAGTAGTGAGTGAGTGAGAGGTACCAAGTTACACACATGTGATACTCTACTGGAGGCAGTATTGTACTGTCAACTCCAATGTAATGTTTTTTTTTCCTTTCTTCTCTATTTAATGATAATATTCTGTTGTACTGTATATCACCGCCCTACAAAACCTGGTAAACAAACCACCTCAAATCATTCAGCCTAGTTTACAAAGATGTGTAGAAATAGCGTTTTAATCATCATCGTTACTATACTTGTTTACAGACGGTATGTCGCATCGTGTAGTCATTTTTTTAATTTTTGTTTTTATTTTGTTTCTCTTCTTTTGTAGTCATCTAATATTAATTTATATAATATATGCTTCTCCTGTATCTATTTTTCCCCTTATCAAGCTTTACAGTATTTTCTCTCTTATATATATGTGTCTAGTCTTATCCTCTCTTGTGTTTTGTTCAATAAGCTGACGACCACACAGTTATGCTCTAGTCCAGACTATTGTAGATTCATTCTCTTGATCTACCGTCATCCTTCTTCTTCTACTTTTTCTTCTTCTCCTTTTCTTTCTCCTCTTCTGTTGTCTTCTTCTAGGAACAGCTGTCACTTTGTTCACCGTGTACATATAGTCGTCACCGCCTGAATCTTTTTGTTTGATTGCTCGTCCCTCACAATAAAGTATGATAACTGATTGATTGGAGGTGTTTCATTGGAGGGTTTTTTATTCTATTTTTTTTTTTTTTAATGCTTAACTTTATCTCCCTTGTGTCAAAGTTATTTATCATACACATTTTTTATTTTTTATTTTTATTTTTTTTATAGTAGGTGTAATAAGTTAGACTGGAATAAGTTTGAATTTGGGCAACAACAGTTTAGGCTTTTGGCTTCTAGGCTGGTATTGAATGTTGGCTTAGGGAAGGAATGATGCCATTTTACATTTTATACAACAAAATGTAATGCATTTCTTTATTGTGAAACTTGTAACCATATTATGAATTCATCCTCCTTACTTGACAAAGAGGAAAGTATAAAAAAATTTGGTTTGGTTGGCCAGAATGGCTTAAACTGTGTCTGTACTGTACAGGCTAAACCACAGGCTGAAAGTGTTAGCCCAAGGCCCACAAGAATGTTTTTCAAGACACTATAAAAGTGAATCGTGACGACATAAAAACTACGATGATTCCGAAGGTATATAGGGAGACAGAGCCGTTCTCATAATGTCTGTATAGCGCCATGTACAAAGGAAATGATTTTTGTTATCAATCATTTTATAGATGCAAATAAAGAGGTGTAAAAATTAGAAGGCAAAAAAGTGGTTTTTATTTTCCTGTAGCTCTTGTATTGTTGTTGTTGTTAAAGAAGGATAATTCTCTCAGTAGTAGACTCAAGCCATCCCTGGAGTCACTATTCAAGACACTAAAGGGGTGCTGCCTCCTTCCCTACCATGCATGGTTCCCTACTTTGGCTGTGTTACACCTTATGATCATATTTACACACAGCTGTAGCTTATAATTTTTATAAAATTTATGCTTTAGGTCTTATTTACACTATTTATTTGCTGTATTTACACAACACAATTGCTCTTTTATATTTTATGACCCCAGTGCCTAGCTCATTCAACTCATGCACTTGGCCATTAAGACTACAATTTGAAAATTCAAGGTACTGTACCCTGTTTGTTAATGGCTGAAACTAGTTCATTGTTCGACCTGCAGATTCATGGTTCATACAGAGGCACTTAATCGTTGGTTAAACAGTAATTGTCCTGATGCCCATCTTGACACTGTGGGAAGCTTGTGAGAGTGGTATAGGATCCTTGTGATCTAGTCTACCAAGGTAAACTCCCTTTGTGTGTGCGTGTGTGGTATAATAGCACTTGCAGTTCTTTTGTGCTTCCATCCTACCCTTATCTGACGGAAAACAAATACACAAGTTGCATTATTAAGGAATTTTTTTTATAAACAGAGAATGAATCGTAACACAGGTGGGTAACAGTGAGGTGGTCTGGAACTGAGGGTCACACCCTGATATAGCAACTTTTGGTCAAATTAGATGGTTACAATTGCACATCACCACTTGTTACCTCCAGTCTCGGTTGATAACTGTAGAGCTTAATGTTATTGTTTAGAGACCCGGGCAGGGTGAAACTATGGGCAAGTTTCTTTAAACCATTTGCCTCTGTCTACCCAGCAGTAATTGGGAACCTGGATATTAATCGATTTGCGGATCGTGTTCCAGGGTAATGGCTAGCCAGTGCAGTTGGCGAGTTGTCCGGTCTTCTCGGACTATTCCTTGACGCTGGGTCATGGAACTCGTTAACTTAGGGTATGGTTGTTGTGTTGGTGACAGATTCTACACCTTTAACAAATTCACGCTTAGGTGGCCCTTGTGCCAGCCACCCTCGTTACATGAGGGGCAACCATTATTAATAGGAAGAAGGTGTGGTTAATGAATTAGTTTTAGCATTAATGTCAAGGGTTTACCTGAGGATAAAGCGTTAGTCATCTAATCCAGTCTCAGTCATAAAATGGGATACTGTATTAGAATCAGTTCCATTCTTCCATCCACAACATATCCTAGTAAGACAGCTAGAGAGAATAGCTGACACTGATTGTAGTTTCCGACTTTTGACCGGTGTAGTGCAAAAATAATCCTAAGCGTACATTTTTTTCTATAGTCTACCTCTAATTCATTGTACATCTGTTCAGAAAGTCATAATTGAAACTTGAAAATTACAAGTGATATTCAACAAATGATATACACTACATGATGTAACATATGAAAGCACATTTTGAAGGTGTAGAGTAACATATGTGTCCACCATACCTAATCTTAAATGCAGGTACTGAGGTGAAACTACTTTCTTGCCTTACGGAACAAGTAGCAATTCTTAAGTGAAAACTATTGTAAACCTCAAGTGTTACCTAACCACTGGAAGATGTAGTAGCTGAAATGTTTGGAGAAGGTTTAACATACATCTACCCAAACAAGATAAACATGAATCGGTTATTGATTATATTTAGCAAAACTTGATTAAAAAATCCCTCATTCTCAAAACACTAATCAGTCAGGTTAGGTAAGGAAGGTTTTAAGGTAACTTAAATCTTGCCAATATGATTTCTCAAGAATGGATCACCTAAAGATTAGCCCTCAAGATTTTTAACCTAATGAAGGGGTTAGGTGAGCTTAGTGTTAAGGTGGTTGATCTTCAGGTGGGTAAGCTGAGTGTTAGGGTGGTTAATCTTCAGGTGAAATAAGCTGGGGGAGCTAATCTTCAGGTGATCCCACAACGTTAATAAGGTAGAAAACTCCAGCAAGTTAATATGTACCATATATCTTGCCATGTGAAATTTGAGAAAATTTCAGAATAGGTAAGAAAAATAAATTAGAAAACAAACTCAGATGTTCGTGTGATCATATACTGAGTTAATAATAACTATTGTATCCTTGTCTATGGTCTGGACATTAAAAACATTCAAGAGAAAGATTTTTATGTCAGTATGTGGTCAACAGGTGTGTTGTATGGAAGGTGTGTGTGTGTGTGTGTGTGTGTGTGCGCAGAAGTTGTATAGTACAGTATTTTTATTACTTGTACTGTTACTTTTTTGTGCACTAGTGTATTGTGTGTGCTCAACAATAAATAGTGAGTGTGTGTGTGTGCTCTACAATAAATTATACAACTATGTACTCTAAATAATATATATGTGCTCAAGAAAGCCATACTGTTTTATATGTGCAATTAATACGCTATCATTATTATGTGAATAATAGCCTGAGCTTATAATACGACACATCAGGTAGTTAAGTTGTTTATTTTTGTTTTTTGTTCAGGTGTTCAAAGAAAGAATGGGTTAGTGTTACGTTTACCTTAATTCTGGGTAAGTTACTGGTGATAGAAAACGTTAGTCGCATTTTCTATGGTTTTAAAATTTAAAGAAGCTACATTTGTATGTGTGTGTGTGTAGACAGATACACACATAACACATACAAATAAATATTAATGGGAAAATCCTCTCAAATAATCCGAAACAAGACAACAAAAATGTATTAAACATGTTAGAGTTTACCCTCAAAGGAACTTCGTGTTTTGTTATAACTTTAATAACAGAGCACGTTATAGGTTTGAGGATAGACTCACATTTTTAATACATTTTTGTTTTATTTCTGAGAGGACTTTCCCATTATTATTTATTTGTATGTGTTTTGTGTGTCTGTCTACACACACATGTATATATGCAATACAGGTAAAAAGATAATTGTCCTAAGGGCAAACACATACTGGCAGCATAATGTGTTGTCTAATGGTAGACCCTGCTGCTGTATGGCATCACGATAATTGTGACCAAGTCCCAGGTTGGTGATCTGACTTTCTGCCTCATTTACACACTTTTGATCTTTTTTTTATTTTTTCTATTATTATATTACAATGTTAGTATTATTATTATTATTTTACTTTTAATTTTGTATTTTTTATTATAAATTTTATTTACTATGAATTATTATTATATTTTCGTCCGCCAGGCCCCAATGTGGGTCAGCGACCTGTGCCCAGGTGGGCTAATCCCCGTAAAAAAAAAGAGGGGGGGGGGATATACATTTCTTAGCATATAAATGTACCCCCCCCGTCAGCAAGTGTTATTCATGGATTTGGCTACTCGCAGCCACTTTGAGAACCTAACCCCAGCGAATTTGAAGGGGATGCTACTCAATTCTGAAGGAATAGGCTTGTAAAGCTAAAGAGCACCTCATCAGTCTACCATTGTGGTTTTTCATGTTTCTCAAATATGTTACAGGTTGTTGATCAGTCTGAATGATAAATTATCTAACATACAAGAAGTTTTTATACTTATCAATTGCCCAGACAATGCTGAGACACTATCTCTATTGCAGCACACCTCTTTTCTCAGTCCAGGAGAGTTGCTGCCGTTTGACACTGGCATAAGAATTCTTTCAATCATCTGTAATAATACAGCACCTAAACCTGTATCTGAGGCATCTGTTCTGCAATAGAAATCATTCGTACAATCAGGCAAATATAAAATGGGTTTACCTGAGTTTGTCCTTTAAAACATTAAAACTATCAATTTGTTCTGAGCTCCAATTTAATACATTACTACTATATTTCTTTACCATACTATTCTTTGGTGCTACTATATCTGCCTAATTTGAAATAACTTTTCTATAGAATGATGCTGAACCCAGGAATGATCTAAGCTGCTTCTTGCTGCTTGGTAGGCATATTGATTAAAACATTTATTTTATCCTCTTGCAGGGAGAGTTGATTGTTCCCAAGAGATAATCCCAAATAATTAATTTTTGAATAAGCAAATAAATACTTCTTGGGACCAGCGGTCAATCCATGTTTGTGTGACCTCTCACATAACTCTTTGAGATCTTGCAAATGTTCACTCCAATTTGAATTATGAATTACTATAATACATTATCAAAATAACGTTAAGTGTTCTTCAATCCAAAAATCACGTTTCTCATCAGTCTTATGAAAGTAGCACAAGCAGTTTTTAATCCAAAGGGCATACTCCGAAATTGCATCAGACCACGATGGGTAGCAAAAGCTGTACAGACTTCCGAGTTCTCCGGCAATTCTTCTTGCCAGTAACCTTTACACATGTCTATCTCGGTGAAATATTTATCATTTACAAAGTTTCCCAAATACTCATCAATAGTAGGCATAGGCTCTGCATCAAACAGAGTCATGTCATTTAGACTTTTAAAATCTATGCAAACTTTTAAGCTGTTATCTGCCTTTTTAACAAGAACTGGTGAACAATAATGAGTCAGATGGTTCTATCACACCTAATTCTAACATTCTGTCTACTTCCTCACCATAAACAAGATTAAACATGAACAAGATGGAGAGGCACTACAAACTAGTATTGATGGAGGTAAAAGTTCTCACTTGTTTAGTATGAGCGATGTTGTGATGCTCAAAGATTTGGAGACATTGTTGAAAGATAGATATCACTTGTCTTCATGTATATAAGATAACCATTGTTTTTAAGAGTATCTGTTAGGTATTACTAGTAGCTATGATATTTTGTTTAATTGTTGAAGTTTGTAAAGTTTATATCTTGTTATATATACTGAGTAATATCAGTTACTATTAGCATGGTTTGGGATAAAATAATAATGGTCTGTAAAAAGTAAACAAGAGGTAGGAAAGGAAACATTTTTTATTCTGGTTATTTCTCCATGTAAAATTCAGTACTACTGTAACTGTATTAGTAAAAACAGAACAAATTTAAAACTTGTTGTTTGCCACGTGGCCTCATGCCTAGCGGGAAATTTCTGTTCACTGTCTGTACTGTACACTTAAGAACAGGGTCTTTTGGTTCACTGGAATTCATTACTGTACAGTATTGTCTTTTTCAATATTATAAGTGTGATGCACTACAGTATATTTGTTGTTTTAGAATTCAGCACTTGAAAACCTTAAGTATTACAGCAATGGTTGATATTAGTCAAAGTACAATTGTTTTTCATGAATCTCGATGAAATACGACAGTATTGACCTGAAAATTTATATTCACCAAACTTATTTGAAGTGATGGGTAAACCAGATGGAAATCTTGGTGCTTTATTATAGAAGACCATAAGAGAATACATCTGTTATAATTAATGAAAAACAGAGAATTAGAAAGAGACTGTTGTTCATATCCTGCTTTTGTTCTCTGTATGAAGCAGAAAAAGAACAGCAATTAGGCATAATTTATGTGAAGAATGGCTGCATAAAAAGATATAGTTTACAGACCTTTAACCAAAGAGGAATGAGAGTCCGACATTTAGTGACACAGTTGTCGACTTTGTGTGTAATACTGTACAGTCTTTCCTCTTAACTGTGAGGGTTAGGTTCCTGAAAAACTCCCAGAGACAAGCTCGGAGTCCTAAAATATTCACTAAGGTAAAAAAACCAATCTGTATGTGATATTTTCCTCTTTAACTATACAGTACACTGTAACATTAAAACTTAAAATTGTAGGCATATACAAGGCAATAAATAAAGCAAATAAATAACAATAATGAAAGCATAAAAAGAACAAAAATTATACAAGTTACTTTAAACACGGAGTTGTAATTTACATTGACGCTTGCCCCAGCAAAGCAGCCCAGGTGTGACTGCCTACCTGTAGCAATAGTATTCTGTGCTGCGTACAGGATCTGACTCTCGACTTATTCACATGCACACCTACAGAGACAAGGGTTGAGGATGTAGGAAGGTTAAAAATGAACATGTCTTACCTGTAATAAAATTAAGAAGTAAGCTATTTACTGGGAGAATAAATAAAATAATTACAGTACAGTACAGTATTAACTTTTACCTATGAATTTCATGTTCTGCTGACTAATAAAATAGAATAAAAAATTTTCTTGCTAACCTTTCATGGTGATAATGATGACATTTTTAGCCAGAGTCCATAGCCTCAAGATCATCCAATTCCTCAGACTCCACCACAACCTCAGGATCATCTGCAGATGACTCCGATTCCATTGACAAGAGACTTGGGCAGAAAATGGTGGTGCTAGGAGAGCTGGTCCGTGACGAGTGGACGATTGTGGTGGGACTCGTGCAAGACGAATGAGTGATGGTGGCGGTTTGTGAGGAGGGGGTGGTGGCAGACGAAGGCATCAGAAAACTGAGGATGATGGATGTTTCATTTTCCAATGAAAGCCCTTCTGCACTTCCCTAAAAGGCTGCATTATTTCCTCTAACTTTCTTTTTAATTTTAGGCTTCTTTCCATAAAAGGATCAGCCTCGATCACCATGTCACTGAGATTTATGCCCAGTAGCACGATGTTGTCAATAACCTTGAGAGTTAACTTGGGCTTCTCCTCTTTCACTTCGCTATCACTGCCCTCCTCGTCGCAAGAGCTTAACTCAATAACCTCATCCAAGTCCTCTTCAGTCAGCTCCTCACTGTGGACATTCAGTAGTTCCTCTACTTCAGTCTCATTCAGGTCCTCAAATCCTTCCCCACCCCAGTATGTGCCAGCTGCACAATCCTTATCAACCGTGGGGAATCCTGTGAAGTCATGTACGACTTCCTTCCACAATTTTTGCCAACAGGCGTTGATTGTTACTGCTGGACCTCGTCTAAGGACTCATTGATGTTGGAAACACAGTCGGTTATCGTATATTTCTTCCAGTAATCGGAGACAGTCAGTGAAGAATCATTTTCTATGCCATCAAGGATGCCAACAAAGGTATGGCAGGTGTAATATGCCTTGAAACACTTGATAACTCCCTGATCTAAGGGCTGCAACAGGGAAGTGGTGTGGGATGGTAAGAACACCACTTCAATGTTAGGTTTTTCCTCAGTAAATACATCTTGACGTCGTGAGAAAAACAGTTGTGCAGCCAGTCCATGAACAACATGCCAGTAACCCACGCCTTCTTGTACACGAGCATCGTTTTCGTCATAAAGTCCCCAGACACATTTGCTCACATTAGAAGGGTCAACCTGTCTTTGGCTGCCTTGATCCCTGGAGCAGTCTTCTCTTCCTTGGAGATGAAGGCCTTGCTGGCATCCTTTTCCAAAACAGACCTGTCTCGTCAGCATTGAAGACCTGCTCTGACAGATATCCCTTCTCCTCTATCAGCTCCTTCAGCATGTCTGGATATAATCCTGCAGTTACATTGTCTTCCGATGTTGCCTCCCCCACGGTCTTAAAGCTGGGAATGCTGGTTCGTTTCTTGAAGAGTTCAAACTAGCCCTTGCTAGCCTGAAAGCTGGTTCCTCGTGAAGAACTAACTACACTGCCTGATTGCTCCACAAGGTGGTTGTAGATATGCAGCATCTTCTTCTAGATAATATTACTATTGAGTGGTTCTTTTTTCTGAGTCATATCTTCTATCCAGAGAGAGAGCATTTTCTCTGTCTTTTCAATGAATGGATCACGGGTCATGTATGTCACTTTTGCGCTCTTTGGTGCACCTGCTGCAACACTAGCCCTAATGGTTGCTTCATTTTTCTTTATTGTCCTCACTGACGACTCATTCACAGGAAAATACTTCCCGACTGCTACTATGCTCTCACCACATGCAAGCTTATCAAGAATTACCACTTTCTGCTCTAAAGACAGCACTTTTCTCGCCCTCTTTGTTACAGCGACAGTCTTATCATTAGATTTACGCTTTGAAGCCATTTTTCAGGGCAAAAAATTAACAAAAACTGCTGGTTTACAAAAAAATGAGAGCAGTCTAATGGGATGTATATAAGGTGGTCACTGTGAGATAGACAAGGCAGGTTGGGCCAGGCCGGGGTAGAAGGGAAATAAGGCAGAGACGCTGTGAGCTCCCATGCATATCATTCTGTGCCTTTCACCGAGGTGAGCCGTTTTAATCTTCGTTGCTTGCGACACGGCTTCACAGTGGAAACCTGTGGATACTTAAAATTTTATACCAAGGGAGGAAAACCTGGTGACAATATATACTCGTATATACTGAACAGTGAATACTTAAACCGTGGTTAGAAAAACCATGGTTGGGGGAGGATGACTGCATACAGTATGATTTAAAACACTCAACATTCTACTCTGGTAGTATGGTACACTAGCAAACACCAGTAGACCATAAGAATGATGACTGAGTCTTTGAGAAGTGGAGGGCTTCATCTTGCACACAAAATCAAGGTCATTGCTGCCAAAGATGATGGAAGTCAGAATTTCAGCTTCTAAAACTGGTGCTGGGCTGCCGTATTCTCCATCTCAGCCGTGGTTAGATGATTTCTGTCATGGATAAGGAAATTAAAATACAGTACAGTAGAAGGGTACAATATATAATATGTTTACATAAGAAATGACTTGGTCTATAACCTTAGATCAGACTTACATGATGATCATCTGGAGGGCTGGTTGGTATGAAATATTGTTTACCAACACTAAACCCATCCCAGTAGGGGCACTCTAACGCCCACCTAATGATAGTCAGTTTTTGGAACATTTTACAAAGATATCATATACAGTAGTATTAGAACAAGAAAGTTGTCCGTGTAAGCAAACCTTAGATATAAATGGCTTTACACAAGTAATTAATTCATCAACCCGAGCGACAAAGTCCTCAGCCACCATACTAGATCATGAACAGTAATATGTAAAAGCCAAGACATAATCAGTCAGGCAGGGGTTATTCATATTGGCCTTGGTGACAACTTTATCAACTGCTTGGCAATCATACAATGTCACTTGGGCTATACCTACTTGTCATGGTATTCAGTAATACTGTAAACCCAAACATGGAATTTAAACTCCAACCTACAGATTATTCAAAACAAATTGGTAAGGTTCATTCTTGACATGACAGCAAGAGACTATTGGTCATAAAGTCTCCAATCACTGGATATGTTAAGGTGGCGGATAGCTTCAGTAAAGCAACTGAGTGACGCTTATAAGATTTTCAATAGACTGTGCCCTGAGTATCTAACAGCAAACATTTTAAGAATTAGGGATATGAAGCGGTAGGGCACTGGGGGGAAGTGGTAATGGTGGAGACGGTTAGCACCAAAAGGACTTTATGGAGTTGCACCAAATTTTCAGATGTTCTTTGGTTGGTACTAAGTACAGGGTAGTAATATCGAAACATTTTTTTCTTCTTTTTAGCATATCCTTCTATCATAAATTACTTGTTGGTGGGCAGGACATAAAAGAAGATGGAAATAACGGGGTACAAACACTGATCATATGGCTGTAATTTCATGTCTATTATTTACTATAATTATGGTGCTGTCAAATATCCAGGGACAACCATGTTTCGGTTCACATCGTTTGCTATATGGGAGCATCCGTGGTGTTCCTTTACATGTCAAGAAATGAACGATAATCTCATAGGGTGTGTTTATTATAATTTATATTGGATTAAATTTGTTCGGTTTTTCTAGAGATGTTGTTTGAATGATAGTAAGAAAATCGAAACAGCAATACACAGGCTAAGAAGTTTGGTTCGGTACCATAGGTTGGGTTAGGTAGGCTAGGTTCTGTGCATTGTCATTTCAATTTTCTTACTTAGTATCATCCAAACAACATTTCTTGAAAATTTGGTACAATTCCATACAGTCTTTCTGGTCCTAACTGTCTCCACCATTAATGAGGAAGTGAACAGTGTTAATTTTTATGGCCTGTGGTCAAGCAAAAACACTTTCTTCTTTACAGCTATAGTGAACTGAAACAAGTTACTTGACCACATTAAAACCAGTATTGTTATCAAACAATTAAAAGTTAAAACTAAAAAAATACATAAAGAGATGATGCTACAACAAGAGAAGAGAAAGAGTTTCTATATTAACCAGTAAGGTAGTACTGTACTACAGGCAGGCAAGGGGTGACTCAAAAGACATCACTAAGTCCAGTGTTTATACCCGGACCTGGCAGATGCCCGCCCCACAAGGGGTCACAGCTTAAAGTTGAAAAGTCACAAGTTCAGAAAATTGTCAGGGTAAAGTTTTGGGAGTTAAAGAGTTGTAAACTCTTGGAACACTGCCAGAGAATGTTGTGACAGCACCGAGTGTGAGCTCATTCATGAACAGACTTGACCAACACTGGCGCAGATACAAATACATGTACTGTACATGCAGGAGCCAGCACATACCCAGTACTTGCCTACAGCAAATAACAGCCATACTCAATCACCTAAGTGACTGACAAACGAAAGATACCTGGCAGTCCTGCACCATCAGGGGAAACTGTCGTCCTCCACACCCACTGTAAACCTGCAGTGTCTATACACATGCTAAACTGAATGCATGCATAGTATATATATATACATGTCAAACCAATTGTTAACTGAATATATATTAGTAGTAGTAGAAATATTATTTGGTTAAGTTTCAACTGTGGTGCTCTGAGTGTGGGCGATGCTCCTCTGTTATGTTTGTTTACATGATCACAGCTGACTGTTGTGAGTGATGGCGTCGTCTAACTCCTCCGATGACCATGTTCCTCCATTATTTAAAGTGAATTCTAATGTAGATGGATACACAGCCCACGAGTGTATTAGAGTAGAGAGGTGTCCACTTTGTAATCAGAAAACTAAAGCGTTTTATTGTAAGGAGTGCGTGAGAAATGGGAACTTCTATCACTCTCGCATGAAGCTACCAGAAAGGTATGTAGGTAATTCAAGTACAATAAGGTCATCAAGTACACAGTTCACAATGTAGTAATGTAATAATTTGATCTGAATTGTTAAATAATTGTGATAGCTGCACCAAAGTGTACAGTAATGAATTATCTGTTTTGGGTGAAAAAGAGGTTATGACGCATCTAAAGAATCATATTATAGTTACCTAATATTAACAATAAATTGGATTTTGGGGGTAATTATCTGGATTATTAACGTCCAGTTATCTTTCAAAATGTCATTTTACCTTATCCAAGAAAAGTTAGTTTAATAATTGAGCTGTGAAAAAAGTTTGTGGAGGTCAAAATAATTTTGTATTAAGGTCAGTGTTATCAGTGACTACCATACCTTATGTTACCTGCGATAATTACCAGAATTTAATGTTATAAATAAGTGAATAAGAAAGTTAAATTCATTACCATTCTATAATGGACTTCAGAAGTTGAAATAACCCGGTTGTATCACAAGTAGTACAGTAATGTGTAAAATAATGACTCAGGAAAGACTCATCACTGTGAGGCTGTGTGTGTGTTACTGAACAACCCCTTGGCTCTGTATCCATTATGACAGATCTCACCAAATTATAAACAAATATCTAAGTTCAATATTTTTATTTAGCTGGAATGGACAACTGAACACTGCTAAACTTTCATCCATTTCTAATAATATCAGGTGTAGGTTAGTGACTATTTTTAATTACTGGAGTGTTCTATAAGGTATGTACTATATTGTCAGCAGCATATTTCTTGTAGTCTCAGTGTACTGTAGCATATTTCATGGATGCTTTTTCTTGTTCTAGAAATTATTTTTACATTTTATGCAGTTCTTGTTAGAAGTGCATTTGTCACAAATACATAAGGTGCCGAGTAATATAATGATTTGCACTTTTCTTTTATATATTTTTTCTATTTCTAGTAAGTCTACCCTGTTATTTAAACATTATAGCCCTATTTTTTATGGTAGGTTTTAAACTTTCTAAATTATTGTTTCCTTATTCCCAGTTTTTCTTATGATTATATTATCAGGTGTAGAGTAACCACTGATACAGTTAATAGAGAAGCATAAATGTTTTAGTTTCTTTCCCCCTGACTGTGTGATGAATTTAAATTATTACGGCAACTTATGTTACTAAGGTAAATGTCTGAAGGATAAAGTGGTGTAAGTTATCTTGACAGTTATTATTTTATTTAATCAAACGAAACATGTAAATGATAATCCAAACCTTCGATAATTTCAATAATGTTATTAGCTATCTGGCATTTTATTACTTCTTGAAAGAGAAAATGTCGTGGAAATTTGTTTTATAAAGCCGATACTGTACAGTCTGAAGATTTTCAGGGAAGTATGAGTTCATTGTTGGAAACTTCATATATTGTTAATATGTAGCGAATAGAAAAATATGTATGTATATAAAGTACAGTACTGTATGTTGATTGCCACTGTCTTAGGCTGTTAATGATAATTGAAAGACCTTTTGAATATAAATCTTGCTACATTGATAAGGTGACAGCTGTGTATGTGCTATTGTGACACTACAGTGTTTTGCACAGAGACAATAAGGCAGTGGCCTTTGGCTTTCTGGCAAAATGAAAAGAAATGTCACTGATCTCTGTCCGTTTATATCAGATATAAGTCACCGATGATGCCAGTTTACCCTAAACTCATATTTTGTAAGTTATAATTTACCCCAGTTTATATTCATATTTGTTCTGCAGGATTTAGCATTTATTGTATAAAATCAAGAAGCAGAACATGAATAACTGTAGCCATTCTCATGAGGTTAGTAACTGAAATTTGCATTGTTATGTCTAATATAAGGCTACTGTACAGTACAGTACTTGCTATTTCAATTGAAGGAGCAAAAACTTGGCTTGATTTTGTATTTTACAATTTTTAGTAGTAGCTTCTATTCACATTACAGTACAGGTACTCCTCGACTTACGACCTACTCGACTTACGACCTACTCGACTTACGACCACCCGGACATACGACCGCTGCAGTCGTATAAAACATTTTTCAAATTACGTATTTTCGAGTCCCGACGTTAGTGATCACACTGTGTACTAAAAAAATTTTCGTTTGTAATTCCCTTAAAATGGCTGGCAAGCCTTAAAGTGAGAGTTCTCGTGGTGCGGAAAAGAAAAAGAGACACCCATTTTAGATTTTATATGTATTATTTTTGCATTTTCGACTTACGACCTGGTCGTCGGTCCCTAACCCCGTTGTAAGTCGGGGACTGACTGTATTTGATTTTAACTTCATAATTTTCTCGGCTTCATGACCCTACTACAGTATATTTGTATGCACTGATGTTTTGTCTTAAGCCATTTCAATCCATACTCATTTTTCTGTTAATACTAATTGATTGGTTCTTATGCCATATGTTTCTCTTGTACTGTACCTTATTGGTTATTTGGCTTTCCACTCCAGAATCCTGTTGAGAGATAATTTTATGGTGAATTAATAGATTTATTAATGAACGAAAACAACAGTGTATGGTACTTCTTAGATGCCATGGAATGATAAGGTTACTGACGTGGTAAAGGAGGCTCTCAGTGCAGTAGCTATTTCTTTATTGGTATATAGTAGCACTTTTAAAGATACTTAGGGCACCTGAGAAGTAGACTAGATCCTGTTGGTGTTATGTGGGGCTTGAATGGTATTGTATTGTGTAAGATAATTCATTGTTTTGTATTTTAAAAGTTAGCTGGTGAGTGCAGCATATAATGTGAAAAGGTTCTTGAGGTTATGAAAGGTGAAGTACAATAGTCAAAGAGATTCTTGGAAGAAGAGTCGGAGATTACAGTACAGTATACAGTATGACAAAGTCATAAACATCCCCGTCTGAAGCTTCTGACCAGCTCAAAGATTCAAAAGTTTACAGACTTCCTCATTCTACAGATGGAATGTCGGGAATGTGTCCACCTCTGAAGGAATTTTTTAACATTTTTCGAGTAGGCTAATCTTTACTTTAAGTTAAATTGGATCACATGAAGATTAGGCACCCCAGCTTATTTCACCTGGTGATTAGACAAATACCTTAACGATACCACGAGGTTAGATTATGTTGTTAGATTCAGTTAGTGTGTTTGATCATCAGTTTATATAAGCTGGGGTATCTAACCTTCAAGTGATACGTTAAATGACTTTTTATCGTTTTCATGAAACGATTTTATGTGGAGGCATTTTTGTGGTTTGACCCTGCCTGAGGGTAAAGGGGGTTGGCTAGGTATTTGGGGGGGAGGAGGGAGAGGTGTTTGGAAGACATAGTGGGGGGGGGTGAGGTATTGGGAGAAATGGTGAGGGGAGGTGGGTCATTGGGGAGAAACTGTAAGGGATGACAAATGGAGGTGGGGTGAGGGAGGACAAAGTGAGGGTGTGGACGTTAAGAATCCTACAGGAGGGGGAGTAAGGTGGGAGTCAAGGAGGGGCGCTGAGGGTTATGACAAGGACAGAAGGTCGTGAGGGCTTGTGGTTGGGAAGGGGTGTGCAGGAAGCCAGTGGACAGGATGTGTGGGTGTAAGAATTTCAGGTTCGTGAAGGGGAGATAGATATACTTCTTATATGGCCACTTGCCAACTCCACCTTGCCTCTCCTCACACCTGCTGCTCCATGTTTTTGTTTGTGTCCGGTTGTCTGTCTAATGTCTGTCCGGTTCAATCGGCTGTAGGGCAAAATACCGCCTAGTCTAATTGACTTTATTTTTATGAACTTAACCTAACTGTTTCTAACTTAAAAGGGTTAGGTTAGGTTAGTATTAGCGTTCAATCACCAGATGAAGTAAGTTAGTTCAGGTTGGGTTAGTATCATGATGTTTAATCATTGTGTGAAATAAGGTTAGGTTAGGTTAGGTTAAGTTAAGGTGTTTAATCATCAGGTGAAATAAGCGGGGTTTCCTAATCTTCATGAGATCCCTTGATATTCCTTAACCTAATCAAACCTTACTGTAACTTTTCCGAACTTTACCCAACTTTTAGCTAAGCTTAGTTATAACCTAATTTGAAATAATTTCCCTTGACCTACAGTAACTAGCGCCTGACTTTCCCGAACCTGAATAACTGTACTCATGCTCAAAGGTGCTTTACACTGGAATGTTATATGTATTGTATTAACTAGTGTGTTGTAGCGTTTTGTTTTCTACTGTTTGTATATATTAGGGAAGGGTGAGTTCTTTGGTATAAATTCTTAAAAGGCTTCCCCGAGTCCACACTAAATAATAGGCAGATATTTATAATGTTACAATAATTCTGGTTGATGCGCTCTAGCAATTTTCTGCTGTGAACAAAGGAAAGCTGCTCCCTCCCTCTCCAGAAAGCTGAACCTGATTTGACCTGACTTAAGTTCACGACCTGAGTCCTGATTGGCGGAGGTTTGTACAGTACGTGCATAATTCTGAAAATAGCATGAAAGTTGCATTGAGATTACCGTAGAGATACGTTCACTCGGTACCAGACAAAGTTGAGTTACAGAATCTTTCAAATATTATTTTCTTTTATCCCTGAATATTTACGCAATTCATGAGTGTAATATTTTGTTTTAAGTTAAGTTAACCATTGGAGTACGTTCGTAAGTCTTCAGATGCGACCAAGTGTATAATTTATCGTAGTTGTCAAAATCTCGACCCTAGATTCGTATGTTGTTCGAATGTTAAAATGTGTTGCAACTTAAGCTGTAATACCACATCCAATTGGCTATCCTGAGTTAAAATATTAAAGTACTGACAAAATTACATAATAATTACACTCAACCTCTATCTCAGCTATCAAAACTCATAACACTAGAGTGAACAAATGACTGACGGAATTTTTGTGAATCCGGTATCTTTAAAAGTTCTTATGATTAGTTGTTGTTGTTTTTATCGTAGCAGGAAGATGAGGAAACACCTTTTTATGGTATATTTATTTGGACGACATTTTTTTCGTCGTTCATTGTGTCTTCTCGGGTAACAGGGAAGGCATATTAGAGAATCGAAGACCATGGTTCGGGTTATCTGTGGTCAAAGTCAACATCCTACAGTTTTAGTTCCTGTGTGAATTTTTATTCGAGTTTATGATCATGGATTCATAACTGAAAAGATCTTATAGTAATTGTGACTTGATATTTGATATTCTTATAAAAAATTATGTTTGTATTTTTTTCTTCCTTGGGACTTGGAGCGCATTTCTCAGTGAACGGAAATAAAGTCAGAGAGAGTCACAATTTCTGCTTGGGAAAATACAGGAAGTAAGTCATTATGTGGCAATTAGGTTAGGTTGGGTTCTGTGACTTTTTTCCTGAATTCCACTTCTCATTTACTATCTCGTGTCAGTTACCGCACAGAAGTTGACGTCATGAATGCTGAAGCAGCGTAATTTCCACAAAACGTGTGCATAATAATTTCCTTCCCCGCCAAGTAGGTTAGATTAGCTTAGCATTCAAACGACGCCAATGGTAGTAAGCTTCTAATGGCCTTGTCGGACTATCCTTGATATAATCGACTTTGTGTTTGCCATTGTTTGTACGTACAGTATATTTGTGCTGTCTGTGCACATGATGAACCAATTGAACTTGTTTTTTATGGTTTGATTGCATTTTGCCTTTTAATCTTTTTCTTGACCTCTATTGGTGTTGCGCAATATAGGAAAACACGTAGCTATTAAATAAGGGCGTGGAGGTATTCCCATGCCATAAATTGACTTTGCTGAACGTTATCCCATCTTTGAATTTCCAGAGAACCCCCACCCTCGATAAACTGGGTTGAAAGCATGTTACAGTAAAATGTGTTAACAAATGCATAAACTTGGCACCGCTGTATCCTGGGTATGGTTGTTGAGTCATCATAACAACTTTACACCTCACACATCATAGTGAACACACCGACATGTTGGATCTTTATTATTATTATTATTATTATTATTATTATTATTAGTTGTTGTTTTAAAGGCGATTACTACAAATATCAAGAACTTAAAACTGTAAGTTACAGTTATACCACATCCCACAAATATACGTGTCTCAAAATGGCATTGAATTTGTACTGTGACTAACGGCAAGTGGATATATTATGTCAGTTAAGGCAACACATGCAGTTAACGACCAAATGCTTGAGAACCCGGACCTTAAAGGCTTCATTCATATGCAGCGAGGCATGAAAATCCTGTTTCACTCCCGCTTATGTAATATTTCGTTATATTTATTTGTTTTGTTTGCTGGATCTGTCGTAGATCATGTTAGTGTTAGTTTTTGTTAGATCGTGGTTAGATTTGATTATAATTAGTTACAATTAGATTAGACAAGAATAGGCTACATTGGATTGCATTTAGATTAAAGTATAATAGATTATATTACATTAGAAAAGGTTAGATTAGCTTAAAAGAGGTTAGATTGGTTAAGAGTTAGAGTAGACTAGAAAAAGTAAGTTTGTTCATAGATTATATTCGCGTTCGACTAGGCTGGCATAGGTCAGGGCTCTGTATACATTTTGCCGCGGATAGATGTTCAGTGTTTTCTTCTTTCCTTGTGGTTATCGGCATATACCTAGATCACGCGCACCTACAGTGATTTACTTGCATATATATTATATATATATATATATATATATATATATATATATATATATATATATATATATATATATATATATATATATATATATATATATATATGTATATATATATATATATGTATATATACACCTTGGTCATGGTATCATCCATTCTAATCTGTCGTCGTTTCATGGTTGATGCGTTACTAGTTTGAAAAGGATCTTATGTGTGCAAAGGTGGTGTTTATAAGAACGTATACAATAAAGGTTTAAATCAATGCCAAGCCGACTTTGAACACTTGCATTTAAACATGTATAATAATTCTAATGTTTTGGGGAGTTGTGTTTAAATCTCAGCTAAGGAAAAATTTGTTTTACATGTGATTGATATGACGAAATATATAAAGCATCGGCAACTGTCCGGACTAGACAACCAATGAGGATGTTTTGCCTCTTCATCCAATCCCGTCCACTTATTACAATAACCTGTTGACGATGACTGCGGTTTTTATTTTGTTTCGTTAATTTCATTTTTTAACAATAATATGAAGAAAAATTGTCGTGCGTACAGACAAAAAATATGGAAGTGAATAGTTTTTCGGGCTTATATTACGCACGAAATGGCTTACAACAAAGGTAATTTAAGATTAATTACATGATAATGATTGCACCTTGACGCTGATTGGCTGGAATAGTGCCAACTGCATCCCCGTCACATCTCGTTAACTTCATAGCGATACGGTATAAGCAGATGTAACTAGTTTTTTGTGTCGATATTCAGGTGCAGTTTTGGCGGGGAAGGAAGAGAGGTGAGAGTCGCTCGTCAAGTGAACTTCCTACTTTTATGTTACCCCCCCCTCCCCCCTTTACACATAGTTGCCAATCTGCATATTTCTTCCCCAAATAGCATCGTATTTTGTTCTTCATATTTTTATTTCCTTGTTCATTTTTTTTACATTTGCTTATCCATTTTCATCCTTCTTTCCAATGCTACAACTTTTATCTACCTAAGTGTCAAGGTGAGACACTTTTATCTACTAAAGTGTCAAGGTGAGACACTTATATAGACACTTTTATCTTCTAAAGTCTCTCTCCCCAGGATAAGGGGACTTCCCCGTCGCCACCAAAAAAAAAACTGGAATGGTGGGTATAATGGTGGAGTGTGCAGGGGGGTGGGGGGTTAGGCCGGATGGGGAGGGTAGGCAAGGGGTTAGGGACATGTAGATGGGTAAGGTGGAATAGGGTGGGCAAGGGATAAGGGGTAGTAAGTGGCATGTTAGAAAGAGCAGATTGGATAGATAGATAGGTAGGTTGATAGAATACAGTGGTTAGCAGTGGATAGGTTACTCCCTCTGTTCTCCTGCGTTGCTTGGGGGTGAAGGGTTGGGTGAGAGAGAAGAGAGAGAGGGCAAATAAAACCACTTCATACATTATCACAGAATCTTTATTGTTTTGTAAATACACAAACTAAACAACTAAGTCGAGTTTGATTAACAGCTATCTAAAGCATTACCCCCCCTGTACGACATAGAGCGCCAGGGTAGGTAGCGGGCGGAGGAGCGTTCGTCTGGCTAAGTTACTTGGGCTATAGGTGTGTGTAGTTTCCGTATAGGCTATGACTACCGACCCAAACCCGCCTCGGTATATTTGGAGTAGTTAAGTTAGATTTGCTTTAGGATCACTTATTTCACTTAAAGATTTAACAACCGTAGTAACTCTGTTTGAAGGGGGGTTAGGTTAGCGTGTTAATCTTTAGGTGAAATAAGCTGGGGTGGAGGTTCTTTAGGTGATCCTAGTTTGATTAGGATAAGTTAGGTTTGGTTAATATGGGTTTATTTGTTACCGAGAGAGCCAAGTGTGTGGTAGCCGTGTACAGAATAAAGGACCTTTGCTCATGGGACAGATTTAATCTTAGTAAGCCGGCACTGACTCGCAGTGTGCCAAGGTGAATACAAATCAGTAACTAACAAATATTAAACTGTCCTCACTACTGTCGATAAACCAACTCATGATGGCTACCTTGCCTCAATATAAACTATTTCACACAGCAGCAACTTACCAACCACACCTAAACTGAACCACAAAGTTAAGTATCGTAGCCTTCTCTACTTTGTTTACTTCCTGACCGTCGCGTCGTGCAGGCTAAACCAGGGCTTGGGTCTGTAATCAACACCCGAGTAAAAAGCGTTAAGAGCTGGGATGGAAGCATAGTCCTGTCTGGTAACACTGCATAGGTGTGTTATTACAGTTTTCGCACATAAAAAATGACTAAGGACGATTAATTTAACATTATTTTTTGTTCTTCGTGTGTTGTTAACCTTGTTCACACATTAGGGGGGGGATCACCACATTTTTATTCCTTTCTTTTTATAAATGTCGTAATGGTCCGTTGAATTATTTGCCTTATTGCGGTAAATACAGTAATAGCGAACTGGACAATTTCAGTACCCCGGCAGCAACATTGTTCTACCTGTACAGTACACGAACTCTGGCTGTACACTGTTTCTATTGCACAACTGGATGTACTGTACTCTCCTCCAGTACATCAACATTCAAGTTTTTTTCCTTTAATGTACACAATGTTTGGATGCACATAAAGTTGTTATTCACTGTGAGGTTAGAAGATGCACTCGAACAGTAGCTCTCATAACACACACACTAATGTCACAATGGGTTCATGTTATTCTTGTGGGAGGCTGGGCGTGGCAATGAGTTTTGGAAGTGGTTGTTGTGTTTTGAAGAGAGGCATTCGGTCCTGGGTAATAATCAGTGGAGGTAATAGATTTGGGGGGGGGGGGCGATCAGCGTCCTTGGGATTGTTTGATGCAGAAGCCACCGAAGAAGCTCTCTCCAGGAGGGCATTGTCGTCTGTTGGCTCCCGGTCTCATATTTACCTGGGACAAATCGCGACGACAACGCCCCCTGAAGTCCTTGATAGACCCTCTGCTGCATCTGGAGACGTTAGGTAGATTCAGGATAGCGTGGGGAGTGACGCACATGGGCTCCGAGAAGATGACGTCCATAGAGAAGAGGTTACCAGGAGAACAAGGCCCCTGGGTGTCAATGGTGTAGCAACTGGTGTCACTGCTCGCCCTGTTTTGTAGATGACACTGTTTGTCCACCATGGCCATGTCGGGTGAGGAGCACTGGTTGGGCACGCACTCAGCATGTCCACTGTTGCCTTCGTCTATGACCTGTGAGGGGACGTAATCCATATCAGCTGTGTTTATCAGGAATCAGTTCGGCAGTAGTGAGAGGCCCTGGAGTTAAATATTTTAGGGGCCAGTAATGACTTAAAAAGTATTCAGATATTCCCCAGATGACATAAGTATTAAAAAAAAGTGGTTGGATGGCTACTTGGGGGTAGTGAACTTTGTGTCAAAATAGGTGGGGCTTGGTTGATAGGTCACACATCATACAAGTGAGTCATGTAGCTAGTCAGTCCCTGCCCTTCACGACACGCAGGCCTGTTTCACCTTGTCGCTATACACTTAACATTCACACTTCAGAATACCAAGACATTTTGCCGTTAAACCGGTAAAATACATTATTTGGCAAACCAAACGGGGCGAGAGAAGAGACTTACCTTAATTATTTGGCCGGCGAGGCAGGGACCCTGAGAGTAGGGGGGGTAACAGGTGCCGGTGAGGTTGTAGTACACCATGCCAGGGCCACACTCACACTCACCCTCCCCGAACTCGTTGTTGATCATCTCCTGTGTACTGGGGCAGAGTCTCTGAGCCCTGGTGCTGATACACTGTCCGCTTCTCGTCGTCACCTGTTCCTCCCCGCACGGTACACGGTCACACTTTACCGCCACTGTAATAGAAAATATCAACACTGTTATACCAATGAAGGTTTGTCACCCTAACACCACCCTTATTCAGTAACCCAACCTTGTCACCATACCCTAACACCCTTATTCAGTAACGAACTCAACTCTGAGACACGATCGCATTACAAGACCCGAAGATTAGGCATACAAATGGCCTTCACGACATGCAGCTCACAATCCTGTCCACCTGCATGTGTGTCAAACGTTCCCCCCACGAGTGACGTCACAGCAAAACATCATTCCTGATTGGTCGCAGCTGTGTCACTTTAGCCAGTCAGCAAGGAGCTCATGAAATCTTTTTGTTTATCCCTCATAAATGTGCCACTTAGCCATTTTCTGAGGCAATAATATAAGGCATTTGAAACCATTTAGCAATCTGCTCACGTTATAAAAGACAATACGATAATTAAGGAAGTTATTTTGAGGGAATTGTAAAAGAAATCACAGTAATGATATTTTTGAAAACCGCGAGAGCAAGTCTTTAATTTATCTTGACCTTTATGAGCGAGGTAGGGCGCTGACCTTACCTTGGTGGGTGAACGTGAGAAATGTGGTCAAGTTGAGGTCACTAACATTAGAAAAATAAAATAAAATAAAAATTACTGGGAGTTGGTGGTTATCTAATGGCGAAGTGTTTGAGAGGCCAGTGTTGGTGTTTTATAGGTGATTCGTTATCTATTCTGCAGTACGGTGACCAGAGCTGAACCAAGAGAGGTCTCACAAGGTCAAGATAATGTATAGTGTTAGGATAAGCTCGCTAGCCTTGTGTCTGTGATCCCGGGGGCGCCCTTCACCCTCTCCAGTCATCACATTATCGAGGAAATGACAACGAACATATTCTATTTTTTTTTTTTTTTTTCTCCATTTCCATCGACGTATCCGAGGCGTCATTTTCTTTGTCCGGATGACCAAATATGTGTTGATATTGTTCTTGTAAACTAGAGGTTGAAGAACATATGGGACTGCCAGTCTTGAGACACAATATGGCGTCAGACCTGCACCGAGACTACTAGATGGAGTTCTTTAATTACAAGAAGGAAAAATAAAATATAGGTCTTCGAGATTCTGGACTCTGGTCTCTATATAATATTTCTGTACCTCTAAAGTATAAGTCTTATCACATAATTCACAAGTATAAAAGAAATGGTTAAATGTTGACATGTCTGTTTGAGCTATGGGCTGGCATGTCTATATAAACAATGGGCTGAGCATGTCTGTCTCAAGTGTGGGTTAGTCATGGCCAGAGCACCATCACCTGTGTGAAAGGTGTGTGGACTAGTTAGACATGCTGATTTGTGGCTAACCTTGACAGCTAATCTCCCCCCCCCCCTTTGCCACCTTAGATAAACTAAAAGGGTACAACCTTGTAGTACCCCTTTGGTAGTAAATTATGGTGCGTGCGTGTGTGTTTACATGAACTAGAATGTGTGCTTGTATTTACGTCAGTAAAAACACGTACTCATGCGTGTGTGTGAATGAAATAGGAAGAATATGTGTAGCTACTTTATTTGGGTGAATGATAATACGCTTTTCTGTATATAAACACGTACATTTATAATACCCAAGGTGTGACTGTGTGTGTGTGTGCGTGCGTGCACGAAGCGGTCTACACATTTCCGTTTTCCCACGAGTCTTGGGGTCACACCTGTCAGCAAGCACACAATAAACATTGTCTTGTGTGGGGGGTTAAACAGGGTGTACTGAGGTCACTATAACACCACCTCAAGGTATTCGTGAGACAGAGGCCGTGGATGATGGCTTATGGCGTCATTGGTAAGACAAGGGGTGTTGTGAGGGTGTTGCTGGTCGAGGAAGGCAACGGGAAACACAAACCTGGCTGGTGTTTTGTGTTTTTTATTATAACGTGTTTTACAGCTTACAGTCTTGAAGGTAGTATTTTCGAGTAGTGTGTGTGTGTGTGTGTGTGTGTGTGTGTGTGTGTGTGTGTGTGTGTGTGTGTGTGTGTGTGTGTGTGTGTGTGTGTGTGTGTGTGTGTGTGTGTGTGTGTGTGTGTGTGTGTGTGTGTGTGTGTGTGTGTGTGTGTGAATACTGTAGAATAGAATTTGTGTGTGTGTGTTACAGAGGGAAACAACATAAAGGCAGGAAACCAGCCAATATTTGCTGGTTTTGGTATTATTGGATCAAATTATGACTTGGCCAAACACTCCCATATTTTCATTCTCTCTCAGCATTAGTTTATCACCGCGTCACCAAAACAACCACAACAACATAACCAAAACAAACACTTGAAAGAACTACATCCACTTACAGTTAGACTTGTCGAGTACCACCCAGTAGCCTTGTGCGCAGGGCCCTTGGGAAAGGAGTTGGATGCAGTCCTTAATGTCTTCCCACCACACCTGGCCCGCTAGAGAGTTGCATCTTCTTGAGCGAGTTCTTACGTCCACTATGTCCCTGAGTACAGTGTCGGCCCCAGGGACCACCTGGCAGTTGGAGGGTCTATTGTTGTTGTTGTCGGGGCAGCCATTGTTCTGACAGTGGTTTTTGATGGCTTCTTTCAGTTCATCTATGTCTTTCGGGAAATAGATCTTGACGGGGTCTATGTCGACTTGTGGCAAGGCTCTCACGGTCAGCGTTATCGCCACTATGGAGATTATATATGCTCTCACAACACGCCCCATGATGCTAAGACTTATCTCCCCTTTCCTCTACAGACTCGGGGTGTTCAGGCACGGAGTACTCTTCCTTATGTTGTCCTCTGGCGGTACTGGGACACAAGGAATGGTTCTGCGTCTCAGGGGCGTTCGTTCCTTTAGTTTCTGGACGGGGGACTGTTTGTTTACTGTTGCATAACCCTGGTGTAAGTGTTCACAGAAGAGACGGAATATGTTGTCACTTGGCGGTCCTGCAACATACTGACGAGCTCTGGGATCAGCTCTGCTTTATATAGTGCGAGGAGGTAACGCTCTCCACGGCGACCACGTGAACACTGGCGAGTTGGAGAGCAGGGTCGCTCCTCCGTGCCACCCCTCCCTCCTCCGTGCCACCCCTCGTCCCTAACCTTCACTACCCAACCCACCAGACACTCCCCTCCTCCCTCTGCCTCTCCTAGATGTGGTTGTCTCCTGTGATTGGTTATGTTGTCTCCTGTGATTGGTTATGTTGTCTCGTGTGATTGGTTATGTTGTCTCCTGTGATTGGTTATGTTGTCTCCTGTGATTGGTTATGTTGTCTCCTGTGATTGGTTATGTTGTCTCCTGTGATTGGTTATGTTGTCTCGTGTGATTGGTTATGTTGTCTCCTGTGATTGGTTATGTTGTCTCCTGTGATTGGTTATGTTGTCTCGTGTGATTGGTTATGTTGTCTCGTGTGATTGGTTATGTTGTCTCGTGTGATTGGTTATGTTGTCTCCTGTGATTGGTTATGTTGTCTCGTGTGATTGGTTATGTTGTCTCGTGTGATTGGTTATGTTGTCTAGGGTGATTGGTTATGTTGTCTCCTGTGATTGGTTATGTTGTCTCCTGTGATTGGTTATGTTGTCTCCTGTGATTGGTTATGTTGTCTCATGTGATTGGTTATGTTTTTGGTGATTTTTCGGGAGAGAGAGAGAGAGAGAGATGTAAAGGTGTCTGACGTCACATAAGGGCGGCCCCAGTGACTCCACGAGATGACGTCACTGGTATGACAAATTTCCTTGGGTATTATTTCAAACACTAAATTCTTTATATTATCTCGTGTTTATCTGTTTATTTATTTTTATTGTTTATTTTTATCTTCGTGTGGTGAACTGTGTGTTGGTATTGTGTGTTTATATGTCAGGTCTGGGAAGTCATTTATCTCTCTTGTGATTGGTTGGACGCAAGAGTAGGCCTAATGACGTCATCAGTGTCTTGTGTGTGGTTGAACGCCAGGGTAATGACGTCATTAGTTTTAAAGGTTGTTTCCTGTGGTCACCTTTGGCTCCATTGTTGTATTTGGGATTTTTAACTTTGGACCTTGACTTTAGATTTTTTTTATTTACTCTCTCTCTCTCTCTCTCTCTCTCTCTCTCTCTCTCTCTCTCGTTATTCCTTATTAGTAGTTACCTTTACACACACCACAATACCGGGGTCCGGGATACGGTAAAACCTCCATGTAAGGGAATTTTTTGTTCTCGCTATAATCCGTTAGATAGTTCCTCGATAAAAAGGATTTGTTATGTATATAGTTCGTTAGATGGAGGGTTTTAACGGACCATCGATATAACGGACTTTATAATCCGTTAGATGGAGGGTTTTCACATCTAACGGACTTTCCTCTCCATGCAGTCCATAACGTTACATACATAACGTCCGACATACATACATACATACATACACGTGTGGGGTATATATGAAACTTTCTCTTCCCTTCCTCTTCTCTCTCCTTTCTCTCCCTCCTCTTCCTCTTCTCTCTCCACTTCCCCCCACCAGTTAATACTATTTCAAATCCTGTAGTGAAATTTCAGCATCGTGGCCACATATTTAGAAACTTGACGTGAAAGGTTGAGAGGCTACGAGTGAAAGTGAGAGAGACAGGGTAGAGCGAGAGACAGAGAGAGAGAGAGAGGGTTGAGAGAGAAAGAGAGAGATAAATGGTAGAGAGAGATAAAGGGTTGAGAGAGAGAGATAATTATCCAGGAGCTGTTTTTTTAGGTTGATACATTGATTACTGTCTGTCTGTGTGAAAGGTTTCGACTCTCGCGCCACGAAAGAAGAAAAAGAAAGTCGGGGTGAAAGTATTGTCCCAACCACGTTATGTATACTGTGCAGGTATGTGTACACTTTAGGCATATTCAAGTTGGGTGAAAGTATGACCCGAACGAACCTGACCTGACCTGACCTGCCCTGACCTGACCTGACCTGACCTGACTTATCCTGTCGTGACCTATTCTAACCTATCCTAGCCTAGCCTAGCCTGACCTAACCTATTCTAACCTGACCTATCCTGACCTAACCTAACTTTACTTTAGGTAATCTACTTCACATAGCAACAGCAGAAAGGAAAGGAAGGGATGGTATAGGTAGGTAGGGAGGGGTTAGGGTAGGGGGGGAGAGGGAGGGGTTAGGGTTGGGGGAGGGAGGAGGTATTGTTCGTCCACCTCCACACCCTCCATCAGTCTTCCACCCTCCCTCAACCCCCCCCCCTCCCCCCTCCCTTTGCCCCTCAATCCCCTATCCACTTTACCCCCCTCGTCCCTCCTGTCTACCCAGAAGATGAAATCCTCTTTGATGGATAGTAGAGGTTCGGGGGGGGGGTTACCTATCTTCTGATCACACACACACACACACGTTCTTACAAACACTTTTCCACAGTAGGACGCCTTGTGGAACCCCTCTATGACCTATGTATGGTTACACCCTAGGATGTGGCCGTGAGTAAGTGGAGGGTCTTCTGGTCTCTTAGTCCTGGGTGAGAGAGATAATGGGGTGTTGTGTCTCTTAGTGTGTGATGTCTTTTGGCCAGAGGATAAAAACAAACCCATGAGACCTTGGAGACTCGTACTGTCAGCCTCCGGAGCCTCGTCAACATAGTATAAGACACACAATCAAAGGGGCTACTTGAGATCGCCAGGACAGACAGACAGACAGACACAGACAGATAGAAGACAAACAGACAGACAGACAGACACAGACAGACAGAAGACAAACAGACAGACAGACAGACGTTTCCACCACTTGTTCCTCATTAACTAGAGTGTGTATTGGTTGGCTCGGGGCAGCAGGTATCTGGGGTAGATAGAGATACAGATATAAACAAGAATAATTATTTAAACTTGATAATCAGGTTTTTCTTAGAGGAGGAAAAAGAAGTTTTGGTTGAGGTGTTTGTGTATGAGAAAACTATGGCTGAGTGAGCGAACACGTCTTCTGTCTCTCGCCTTCCCTTATGTCAGTGATATATGAGAAAGTAATCCGTTAAATACGAAACTTCCTTCTAACGGATTATATGAGAGAGGATAGTCCGTTAAATACTAAAATTCCTTCTAACGGACTATATGAGAGAGGATAGTATTATATGAGAGAGGATAGTCCGTTAAATACGAAAATTCCTTCTAACGGACTATATGAGAGAGGATAGTCCGTTAAATACGAAAATTCCTTCTAACGGACTATATGAGAGAGGATAGTTCATTATATCGAAATCCGTTATAGGGAGGATTAACCGTACTCTTTCTCGTGGTAATGTTGTGTTTTCCTCAGGTATGCAGACAAGAAGCTTCGTTACTTCAGGCTCCGACGAGACTTGTTAGATCAGGACGGTGAAGTGGAGCGTCTACACCAGGCCAAGACCAGACACCTGCTGCTGGTAGGTGGTGGTAGTTGTGGTGGTAGTAGTTGTGGTAGGTAGTGGTGGTAGTACAGTAGTTGTAACACGTACTAATAATCTTAACTAATTAATTTGTTTATTTTTTCTTAATATAGTTAATCATAACAAGATCACCCCTTCCCCCCCCACCCCTTCCCTCCTCTCCTCCCCCTCCTCACCGACCCCTACCCGATGATCCGTGACACCCTCCTCCCCGCCTGCCTAACCCATGGGGGCGTTACATCACGTTACGTTAGTAGGAGACAGAGAGAGTATATCTGGATATATGTGAGTCAGTGAGTGAGACTGTGTGTGTGAGAGCGCGCGCCGGGTATCCTCTAGTCTAGCCTAATGTCACTCCTACACATATGACGTCATCAGGATGTATGTACCTGATAAGTGAAGTTGACTCTCTCTCTCTCTCTCTCTCTCTCTCTCTCTCTCGTGTTCTAGTGTGAGAAGAGGAAGGAGAGGAGGAGGGGATAGAAGAAGAAGGCCAGGAAGAAGTAGTGAGGGACAAAGGAAGAGATGTAGAGGGGGAGAGGGAGGGAGGAAGGAAGGAGAAATGTAAAGATGAAGCAGAAGAAGGAAATAAAAACCGAGAGAGTAAATAAGAAACACGAAAGACAGAGCGAAAGAATAGAGAGCACACACACACACGCAAAGACGACCATGACACTTGCAAGGTTAGATTTTTATTTTTTAGATTGCCCTCGAGGGGGACTAGTTTATTGGGCACCCCCTTACATCCTGTGCAAGATGAAGCACAGAAGCATTTACAGTGTCCATCTGGGAAGCATGCGGAGTTCATGCTTGCCTTTGTGACTCATGCATTAAGGGCGTAAAAGCCTGAAGGGTCATGGTTTTTTCAGCAAGTTACATAAAGTGACAGAATGATGAGTGTGTGGGGGGAAAATTGCAATATAATACTCCAGTGCCATAAATGACCCTTGACCCTGACCTTTCACAGAGACCAGACAGTGAAGACT